GAGTCTCAGTTTCCACAAGTGCAAAATGGGAATCCCTGGCCTGCCCACCTCACAGGTTTGCTGTGGGGATAAAATGAGACCAGATGTGGGAGACGTTTGTAAACTATGAAGAGTTCTACAGATGACAGGATGTCTAACTTCACTTTCAGAGCTGGATCTTTGGGTCCTATTGGGCAAGAAAGCAGATAAAGGCATGGGATCCTGGGACTGTGGTTCCCAGTGAGAGGTGCAAGAGCTGGAATACAGCCTTGGCAATCTCCTGCTCCCAACCCCCAGGGAAGGGAGGGGAGCTGCCCTCCTCCACAGTTATTTAGTGGATGTGGGAGAAACAGAACTTGCGTGGGAGAAGGGAAAGGGAACAGAACAGAAACTGGAGAGCTCTAAGAAATTAAAAGAAAGAAAAAGGACACATGTAAGACCCCGGGAGTTTTCTGGATAAAAACAACACCTTTTATTTGCATGATACCCTGCAGGTCACAAAACACTTGGAGGCACTGGGTTCTCATTAACCTACTTGAGGTCAGGAATGCCTTTGAGAGTCTGATGAAAGCTACAGACCCTCTCTCAGAAAAAAGGAACTCATGCACACAACACATAAAACATTATAGAGCAGCACTGTCCAGCAGAACTTTCTATGAGGATGAAAATGTTCTGTAGCTATGCTGTCCCATACAGTCGCCACTAGCCTCCTGTGGCTACTGAGCACATGAAACATGGCTGATGTGACTGGGGAACTGAATTTTAAATTATTTTGTTTTAATTATTTTCCATTTAAATATCCACCTGTGGCTAGTGGCTTTTGTGTTGGACAACATAGTTACATACTATTCCAAGGGATTCACAGATCCCTGTAGCTCATCCATGAAATACCCTTGTCAATGGACCCCATGTTATGAACTATTTGTGATGATTACAGTGTTCTCATAATAATTATCTTTTTTTGAGCTTACCGGATACATGTATCATGCCATTTAATCCTGTTGAAAACCCCATGACAGAGCTAGAATGGTCATCCCCATTTTATAGATGTGATTACTGAGGCACTGAGAAGCCTACCATCTTACCCCAAGTGTTGTGCCTAGGTCACAGTGGAGGACTGGGGACGGAAACTGAAGACCTCCTGATGTGAGACCTCAAGTCTTCCCTAACTCCCTAAAACCTGTCCTAAGAGTTTCACCAACTGAAGCCCCGGTTCCCTCCTGAGGCCTTGATAGAAATTATTTCTAGTAACCTAAAGAACTTCCATTCGCACTGCTATGCATCTTTAAAGTTACAAGCAAGAGCTTTGGGGGCTTCTCTTCTCCTTAAAGCCTCCAGCCCGGGCTCTACTGAGGCCAACTTCACGTTGGTAACTAAATATTCTTCCATTAAGGTTTGTCTCTGATCTTCCCTTTGGCAGAGGGATGGTTTCCTGTTCTCCATTAGTCCTGTCTGATTACCAAGGCCATAGAGGGCACGGTGCTGGTAAAGAAGTTGGGTTTCTCCATGTGGGATGCCAGTGACCACACACTGCCTCTCAAATAAAGAACCCGGAACCTTCATGCTAGGAATGCACTCTCTTTGCCTTCCTACTCTGGGCCAAGAAATCCCAAATCACAATAGTGTTCACAGGCCACAGGACCATATGGGTCCACACCCTACAGGTCAATCCTTCACCATGGCCTATGGAGCTTAATGAAACTCACTTCCACGTTGTGTCTGTGTCTCTACTCACTTCTAACTTCTAAAACTTCCCCTCATTCAACAGGCATATTCAGATTTTATCTTATCAGCCTGGAATTCTATTTTCCCCAATTCTTCCCCCATCAAAAAATTCCTTCAAGGCCCAGCCCAAATGCCATACATCTCCATGAAAACTTCCAGCCCCCAAGCTTCCAGAACATGGTACCAAAATATACTGCTTACATGTCTACTGATATGGTTTGGCTGTCTCCCCACCCAAATCTCATCTTGAATTGCAGTTTCCATAATCCCTACGTGTTGTGGAAGAGACCCGGCGGGAGGTAATTTAATCATGGGGGCAGTTACCCTCATGCTGTTCTCGTGATAGTGAGTAAGTTCTCACAAGATCTGATGATTCTATAAGGGGCTTTTCCCCCTTTTGCTTGGCACTTATCCTTCCTCCGTCCATGTGAAGAAGGACATGTTTGCTTCCCCTTCCACCAAGATTGTAAGTTTCCTGAGGCCTCACCAGCCTTGCAGAACTGTTGAGTCAATTAAATCTCTTTCCTTTATAAATTACCCACTCTTGGACAGTTCTTTATAGCAGCATGAGAACAAACTACATCTACATAGCATTTTTTCCACACTGTCTTGTATTGCTTTTTTTTTTTTTTTTTTTGACAGAGTCTCACTTGGTCACCCAGGCTGGAATGCAATGGCACAATCTCAGCTCACTGCAACCTCTGCCTCCCGGATTCAAGCTATTCTCCTGTCTCAGCCTTCCAAATAGCTGGGATTACAGGCACATGCCACCACACTCAGGTAATTTTTGTATTTTTAGGAGAGATAGGGTTTCACCATGTTGGCCAGGCTGGTCTCAAACTCCTGACCTCAAGTGATCCTCCTGCCTCGGCCTCTCAAAGTGCTGGGATTACAGGCGTGAGCCACTGTGTCCGACCTGTATTGCTTCCTGAGTGTGGGATCCATGTTGCTTCTTGAGTGTGTGGTCCATATCACATTCAGCTTTTAAATTTCTAACCTCATTGAACAGAGTGCTTGACAAGAAGTAGACACTCAGTAGACTAGTGGTTCTCAAACTTGTTAAAACACAGATTGCTGAGCCCCACCCAGAGAGTTTCAGATTCAGCAGGTCCTGGGTGAAGCCTGAGAATCTGCATTTCTAATACTCTCAAATGACACTGATGCCACTGGCCTAGGGAAGCACTGTAAGCTTGAGAAGCACTGTAAGAGGTGTTTGTGGCATAAATAAAAGATGGAATGGATTAAAATTTCCCTTAAAAATCCTATCACCAGGCCGGGCGCGGTGGCTCAAGCCTGTAATCCCAGCACTTTGGGAGGCCGAGACGGGTGGATCACACGGTCAGGAGATCGAGACCATCCTGGCTAACATGGTGAAACCCCGTCTCTACTAAAAGATACAAAAAAAACCAGCCGGGCGAGGTGGAGGGCGCCTGTAGTCCCAGCTACTCGGGAGGCTGAGGCAGGAGAATGGCGTGAACCTGGGAGGTGGAGCTTGCAGTGAGCTGAGATCTGGCCACTGCACTCCAGCCTGGGCGACAGAGCGAGACTCTGTCTCAAAAAAAAAAAAAAAAAAAAAAAAAATCCTATCACCAAGGGCTCCAAAAATGAGCCTTCAAATGACCAGGATAAAAGAAATATATTACCAACATTTACTTCTAGATAAGAGGCAAAAATAGAAGCAGCAGAAAAAAAGAATGGCAACAAAAGATCAGGGAACCAGATGAAAAATGAAAACTGTCAGAAAAACTTTAGGAGCACCACTGTTGGTTTCCTTTTAACCCTACCTGATAACTTTTTACAATCAGACCAGAAATTAAAAATAAGTTCATTTTTCCTTTTTTTTTTTTTTTTTTTTTAACAGACTCTCACTCTGTTACCCAGGCTGGAGTGCAGTGGCACAGTCTCAGCTCACTGCCACCTCTACCTCCCTAGCTCAAGTGATTCTCGTGCCTCAGCCTCCTGAGTAGCTGGGACTACAGGTACGCGCCACCATGCCTGGTTACTTTTTGCATTTTTAGTAGAGACAGGTTTCACCATGTTGGCCAGGCGGGTCTCAAATTCCTGACCTCAAGTCATCTGCCTGCCTCAGCCTCTCAAAGTGCCAGGATCACAGGCATAAGCCACCGCACCTGGCAATAAGTTCATTTTTCTGACTCAGTCATATATTTTTAAATATTCTAGGGAAACACTCTGACTCAGTAAAATCAAAATTGGGAAATTTTCATAAGAAAATAATCAGAAATGAATGTCAAAATGATGCACAAGGAGAGTTGTGAAGACCTGTTTACAATAACCAGAAATTTGGAACAACTTAAGAAAGTTGTTTTTGGCAAAAGAAATTAGATTCAATAAATTATGGTATGTCCATAAACAGAATGCTATAAAACCTTTTCAAAGGTCTTTACAGGAGAATATTTATTGATACAGAAAAGATGCATGAGACAACAAATGAAAAAAATAATCAAGCTAAAAAATAGTTTAAATAGCATGATCTAACTGGACAAAACCCACAAATAGATATAGAGAAATAGATAAAAACAGAGCTATGGAAAGAAAGCTATTTACCAAATTGGGAGTTAGGACAAAAATTATTTTTTAATTTTAACATTTCTATTTCAATCATTTCTACAATAAACACATATTGCTGTGTAATTTATTTACAGGGTCTTAAAAAATAAATGACAGTCTGTAGGCGGTTTATTCTCTCCATTTCTTCTCATGAAGGACCAAAGAGCTGAATTGAAGACTAAGCATTTGTATAAGCTTTTCCCCACCCTGCTATTTGGCAAACACCAACACAATTTGGGCTCCATTTATAAGGCATCTGCTGCACCAACCCTCTTTCTTGGTGCTTACTGGACCTGCTCAGGGTTAATTTCTAACTCAAAGAACCTAACTTTGAATAACTCCATACCACCGGCAAAGCGACTGACTTCTGGGAATGACATTTACAACGTATCCACTGTTATTTGGTCACCCAGCAAACTGTCATTTTTCAGAAACCAGGGCTGTCTCACAGACTGCCTTTCAATAAGGTGGGTTGCTTAGCAACTGCCAAGGAATTAAGAAGACAGAATAAGGCATCTGCCAGAGATATTTTATGACCAAAATGAGCTGCACTCATGTGTCTGGTTGTGTTCAAGGTAACCAAGTAAGAGATAACACCGGACTATTTTTGCATCATGAGGAAAAATACTTGGCTTCTGCCCAGAAGGGCAATTATCTCAAAGTCTTGGCAGGCCCCATGGTATGAGAAATGGTAACTGATACGGGGGTGAAAAAAAAAAATCACTGACCTTCATAAATACTGATGATATGAGGATGGTTGAGAGATGACATGATCTCAATCTCTCGTCTGATGTGAACCATGTCTTGTTCATCCTTAATTTTGTCCTTACGAATGGATTTTATAGCAACCTATAAAGTCAGGAAATGAAATGTTATTCAGAGAACTAAACAGATGCAAATCAGCCATTGGGGGAGTTTGGAAAATAAATACAGATGTTACTTGTTGGCAGAACCGACAATAACCAAAACAAAGCTTGGAAAAGCCCCCTGTCATGTCTTTCATATATAGCAAAAACGCTCTTCTCCCGGCAACAGAAAACATCAGGTTTTAACAGCCTGGGATTTGTGATGGTGGTTTTTGTTTTTGTTCTTGTTTTGTTTTGTTTTTGTTTTTTTCATAAAGCAGAGGCTGCTTAACACGGCCAGAGTCATTTACTCGAGGAACCCTGATGCTTTGAAAAAAGAAAAAAGGCAAGTTCAGTTTACAGGGTATTGATGATTAAACATGGTTAGGTGAAACTGGTTACCACTCAGCTCCACTGTGCAGCTGCCACAGCGGTGGCTATAAAAAATCATTACTGCCTGGCCAACCTCGAGGCCAGCTCTGCCTCAAGCCTTGGTTTTTAAGACTCCAGGCTATGCTGTGTTTACGCAAGGGCTCAGAAGCGAATTCCTTCCTACATCCTTCCTCTTGCTCAAGGCACCTTCAATAGCACATGGTATGACTAGAGGGCTCTTCTGGAGACAAATCAGGGTAAAACAAAGCGAGTGACAGCTCATCTCCCTGCCCGACCCCTGTCAATTCCCAAAGCTCAGTGCCAAAGTTGCAAATCCAAACTGCAGAGACCTGCTAGGGCCAACACACAGAGCAATTACTCAAAAGAAACACACCAAGAAAAAGGCAATGAATGACAACAGGAACCTAATAAGGAAAAGCGTGTTTGCCAATGGATTCATCTTTGCTCATAAACAAGCTGGTTGGTAACTTAATCAGATTGGCTCTAAGAGGGGCCAAAAACTACTTGAGGAAGGAGCATCCACGGGTAACAAAGAAGCCCACCAATCAATGTGCTGCCGGATCAGAAAGCCTGCCCAGTTCCCTTCCAGGCTGGTACTCTTGTGACCTCGACTCTCACCAGTGGAGGTCAGGCAAACTTTCCTAGGGGAAAGGCAGCTAAACCATCCTTCTGGATTATAAAGGCATAGAGTTATCTGGAGCAAAGAAAGTCCTTGTTATCAGCAACCCACAGCTACACCTTGCCTATCACACAGTCAACCCCAACCAGCCTCAGCAGGGATATATTCACTTTTGGGAGCACGTGCTACTTCTGACTTGCACCAGCTCTCCACCAAGCACTACAAACGGAAACATTTCTAAAATACATCAGTCCGTCTATGACTCAACAAGAACTGGGTAGCTGTTATGACTGTTTTCGCTATGTGCTGACCTCACAAAAAACAGGTTATGTCTGACTAGCAGCTCCCTGGATTTCTCCTTTGCAGTCTCCTTACCCCCGTTGTGATTAAGTCAGCATTTGTGTCTTTACTTGACTCTACACTGGCAGGGATCTTATTCACTGCTTTTTTTTTAACCTCCAGTCATTAACACCATGCTTGGCCTATGGTAGACTCGAGAAAACATTTAGTGTAGACAGGTAGGCAGGTAGATAAAAAAGGAAGGAAAGACGAAGGAAAGGAGGAAAGGAGGGAAGCTAAAGGGAGGGGAGGGTTGATGTTATTAACTGATGCAAGCTCAGACCAGAGAAGTGGTAGCAGAACTGGGGCAAAAAATGTGGGAACCACCCCAGTTAAATAATACTGCCAAGACACGCATAATGGGAAGAAGATTCAGAATTTCTTTAACATCTATCTACACAGGCAATAGAGAAATAGATAAACAAATATAAAACACAGGAGGCCAAGCTGTAAACCCAGGGGCAGGCTCCACCTCCCTTCGACCGTGGGTGGACCCATGGCTGGATAGAAGGAGGCTGCATGGAGATGAATGAGCCTCCCAGCTTAAAGGCCCCTTTTCAGCAGAGAGCCAGACTCAGAGCTACCCCAAGTCCTCACGACAGCCCCATTCAGTATATGGCAAGAAAAACTTCCCTTCGCTTACGTCAAATGTAAAGATATGACTGGATGGCTTTATTTTATCTGAGGAAGGGCTGTAATCCAGGGACCTTGTTCTGGGAGGAAGCAGACAGTGAACACACACAGGCTGTGGAGGGTGTGGGTGGCTGCTGGAACAACTCCTACATTCCTCCATAAGCTAAAGATGGTCAAGGGTAGAAACCACCCCTTTGATTATGCAGCAAGCTGAACTTGGCCTCAAGGAGGCTCTATTGTCAAGTTACAATAGGCATAAATTCTTCACCGTGCAGGGTCAGAGGAGGGTAGCGACATTCTAAAGGGTAAGAAAATAAGCCCACTTGCTGGTTCCCCCCTAACAGTCCAGCGAGGTGGAGGGTCCCACGGTGCAATCGCCAGGGGATGCTTTCAGCTGGGTGTGAAAAGGAAAGTGCCCACATTCTCATCAAGCCGTGCTCCGCACTGAGGAAACTAAAAGGGTTCCATAAATGCTAATAAGCATTGTGGCTGTCTCTCCACAAAAATGTTCCCTTTTCCTACAATGAGTTTTCCACTGAAAATGTAAAAGAGGGTGCATTCTGCTCCCCTATTTCAAAGGGGTGACAGGAAGTCAGGAGGAGACAAATGCTAGAAATCACTTTCATCTGTGCACCTGCCAAGGCTGGAGGGAAGACATTCAACTCTACTCCCAGAGTGGTGGCGGACCCATCCAAGGTCCTGACAGCCAGTTAATGACAAAACAAAAAAACAATACTGCTACTAATAATAATGGCCAGCATTCATTAGCCACTTAATATATGGAGCAGACACCATGCTGAACACTTTACACACCGGGGATCTTTGCACCTTTCTCATTCAAGCCTCAGCTTCACACCACCCTCTTAGGGAGACCCTTCCTGACCCCTCTAGCTGATAAGGCCACCCTTATGGCCACCTCCCTCTCTCTATACCCTTCCCATTTTATCTTCTCTGGAGCATCTCACACCAACTGCTTTATTAGCTGCATATTTAGCCTGTTTTTGTAGGACCCAGGGAGCTAAGAATGGTTGTCATATTGTTTGAGGGTTGTTAAGAAAAAAAAGAAAATCTCTAAACGCAGCTCCTGTAAGAGTGTCTGCTTGAGGAAGTTGAAGGATACACTGAGCCAGTGCACAGACAGTACTGCATAATGCTTAGGAACATGGCTTTAAGTCCAGGCTAAAGTCACACTCTAGCTGTGTGACCCTGGGCAGGTTACATAACCTCTCTGTGCACCAGTTTTCTCATTCATCTAGTAGAGAAATAATAGTACCTGCCTCAGAGGTCCTGGTGAGGATTACATGTCAGGTGCTCAAGAATACGCCTGGCCCAGGGGGTCACTGCTCAATAAGTGTCAGTCTTTTTTAACCCAGAGTGAGTGTTCTATAAGTACAAACTTCCTTTCTTCCTTTCTTTTTCAGAGCAAACTTGAATTTCTCCTGGCTCCTCAAGGGACAGTCACTGGAGGTCTTAGGGACATGTTTCCAAAGTACATAAAGGACAAGAGCATCTCCATCCTGGGTCTTCACATTGCAACCTCACCTGAAATCAGGAAGATCAGATCAGCTGGTCACACACCATTATCAGCAGGGCTCCCGAGTCCAAACCAGACAGGAGGATGAACACCTTGAACCCAAAAAGCAATCCCAGGACCATTTCTCCACCCGCTCCCACACTGTCTCCTTTGACCATTCAGCTGAACAGGTCACAAATATGTTCCTACTTAAAATCAAAAGTCAGCCTCAAGATATTCACACTTCAGCCTATATGAAATTTGGCTGTTCATCCACTTGTTCTTTTTGAAAACCTACCATGTACCAGGCTACACAGGAGGGAGCTGGCGCCACTGCTCCAGCCCTCAAGGTGGGAGGTGGGGTGGGGAGGGTACGGGCAATAAGCAAAACTCACACCAGTAATTACATAATTACCCTCATGGCCAGGGCTACCAAAGAAATGCACAGACATGCCCGGCATTGCAGAGGAAAACTCCTCTCCAGTTTTCCTCAATTCTCACATCTACAAAGAAACACAGAGGTAAGGAAGGGGCCCAGTAGGAAGAGATTATCAAAAGTCTGAAATCACACACCCTCCACCCCCAAAAACCCCATTTGTTCCTGCACAAGTCAGAGAGCCTGCAAGGAGGAGGGAACTCAGGTGTTTGAGCCCGACTCACAGTACAGCCACGTTCATAAATGTTCCCGAGTCTAGACAGCACCGTGTGCCTTATAAAACGGCCTGCTTTTAAATAAGGCCACCCTATGGTTTAATGTTTAAACCTTCTGCAGCAGCAGGTTTGGTGGAGAACCTGTGAATCCTGCCCTGTAGTGCCTGCCTGTTTCAGAAGCAAACTCAGCCCAGATAGTTCTGTTACATGCAACAGGCACAGCCTCCTCTTGAGGGTTGGAGGTTTTTCCTTTTTTGAATAATCACCAAAAACCACCTGCTCTGTGGCCTGCTGGGCATCCTCTCCCACATTCGCTGCTGTGGGTGTTCAGAGCTTGGTGACCTAGGAAGGGCTGGGGGATGCAGAGTGGAAGAGTAAATGCTCAGACTGTCATCGGCTGGGTAACCTCAGGCAAGCCCAAACTTCCCAGGTCACAGTTTCCTCACCTGTAAAATGGGGTTAGAAAATCCTGTTTCTTGGGGTTGTTGTGAGGAGTGGAAACTAGGTAAGTAAAGGCCCCAGCACACAGTATCCACTGAATGGCAGTGATTATAAACCACATTTAAAGGGTAATGAGCCCACAGCAAATCATATCATAGGTCTCTCAGCTCCCCTCCACCCCTACACATATCCTCCCCCTCCCCATATTTGCACAGTGGCAAAAGCAGGTTAAAATTAATATCTGGCCAGCCCCAGGGTATCCTGGTGTCTTATCGAGAGGATGCCTGTGTAGTGTAGGACCAGCCTTGGGGGCGTGGCAGAGAGTCTGGGCAGGTTGTATGTTGTCAAGGCTCTAACCAAGAGAATCCCTGCCCTCCTCCTTTTGCAACCATCTCCCTGCATGCTCATTCATTGA